TTCTGTCCCTGGAGGTGTTCTTTCTAATTTTAACTAAATTTGGTTCACTCATGTTTAATTTTATAGATCTAAAAATAAAGAATATCTGGTACTCCCACCAGTTTTAAGAAATCTTCATCATGTGCACTTTTAGTCGTATTTTGTGTTGACTATTTCTACTGAAAACAATAATAAATTGCAAACAATTTGCTGGGCTTTAGTTCTTGGAGCACAGATCATTGGTAGGATACAAGCACAGTAACCGTATTCTTGGGGGTCTCAATGATGGGGCCGTTTATCTTGCTTGTTGTCCCAGTTCAGGGATGCAGCTAAGGTCGCTGTTTCTCCTTTTGCCTCAAGTTCTGAGGTGGGTTCACAGAAATACACAGTAGTGTCACGAAGAAAGCACTAGGCAGTGGAATAACCGATCAGCAGGTTGGAGACTGAAGAGCACATGTTTGGAATCAGGAGACCTTGGGCTATGTTCTCTCTCTACAAGAATATAATTCTAATGTCCTTGGACAGCCCATTTAACTTTCTTGGGAATAAGTTTCCTTTGCTGTCAAATGGTGCCATCTGTCCTAGTGGCTAAAGGATTATTTTGAGACTCATATCGTCATAATATAGTAAGACCATTTCACCAACTACAAAGTTTAAGCCCAATGTAAAGTAATAATAGTGACTGATCATAAGTATGATGACACCTTTTTGATCAAACCCAAGTCTTTAGATTTTGTTATNTGTCAAATGGTGCCATCTGTCCTAGTGGCTAAAGGATTATTTTGAGACTCATATCGTCATAATACAGTAAGACCACTTCACCTACAAAGTTTAAGCCCAGTGTAAGGTAACAGTGACTGATCATAAGTATGATGACACCTTTTTGATCAAACCCAAGTCTTTAGATTTTGTTATCAACTTGAATTTCATCTAATCAGATGGACCTTACCTGACTACCCCTTTCTAAACTACATCCCTTGACCTTTACCTCCATCATAATGTTTATCACAATTTTTAGCCACTTGTTTTGGGCATCATTTGTCTGTCTTCCCAAAATGTAAGCTCTGTAAGGGAGAGGCCAATGATTTTTTTNTCAACTTGAATTTCATCTAATCAGATGGACCTTACCTGACTACCCCTTTCCAAACTACACCCCTTCACCTTTACCTCCATCATAATGTTTATCACAATTTTTAGCACTTATTTTGGGCATCATTTGTTTGTCTTCCCAAAATGTAAGCTCCGTAAGGGAGAGGCCAATGATTTTTTTCACCATCCTATTCCAAACATCCGGCCTACCACCTGGCTCATAGGAAATACTTGGTAAGTATGTTTTGAATGNTAAGTATGTTTTGAATAATACACATGCACAAAGAAATGAATCTAAGAAAATACAGTCAAATGAATCCTGTTTATAAAAACTGACNCTCATAGGAAATACTTGGTAAGTATGTTTTGAATGATAATACACATGCACAAAGAAATGAATCTAAGAAAATACAGTCAAATGAATCCTGTTTCTAAAAACTGACTTAAATGATTGAAAGTGCTGAATTCACATAGTTGTTCTTGAAAAGAATACATATGTACACACAGAATCCACACACCTATCAGATAGGCATTCCTTTTAGATAATTCTGGCATTTCAATAGGTTTATTGCTCCCCCCTCTCCCAGAGAGCAACTGGAAATTTAGGGTGAACTCAAAGGAAGCAAATAATTCCTATTCCTATGAAAATCACCACGAGGCAGAGCCTGAAAGTCATAGATTTAGTGGGTTTTAGAACTTTTTCCATACCATCACTCCATGAAACACGGAAGCTGAGGCCCCAGGGCACTGAAGTGAGTTGCTTAGTGTCATTGGGTGGTAAGTGGCGGGGCCAGGTGACAGCCCTGGTTAAAGACAACGCCATCACTAAGGGAATTTGTAAACAGCTGCACACACACACAGTGTCTATCAATTCAGATAAAAAGTCTTACATTTGTTGCAGGATTTATAATTGTTCCCCTGTTCAATAACTCAGTGCTGTTTATGGTTGGTAATACCTTTCAAATAGACTTTTAATTAAAATTCTGTATTTTGTTGGTTTTGTCTTTTCAATACTTAACAAGTATAAGCTGCCAAAGCATCTGCTTTGTGCAGATGTCTTAAATTCCTCTCTATTACCTCCATTTGTTTTTACTTTGAGGGCACTGCATGAAAAAGAAAATTTATTTTAGAAAGACAAGACGTGTTATTTTTTGGTTTTAGATTTTTTTTAAATTTAAAATTTGGCCCTTTCCCTCTTTAAATGTATGCTATACCAAGACATGGAAGTTATATGGCACCCTGATTGCAAACATCTATTTTATAACATGATGCTCCCATTATTAAAAATACATAAAACGTGCTATTAAAACAAATAATGAAATGCAATTTTCAGGATACTGGCTTCATGTAGAGTAAATAAATTATATACATATAAATAATTTAAGAATGTAGACTTTCTCTACATTTAACAAAGAGAAACATGATAACTCAACCCAATTAAGATAACATGAAAATCTAGTGATAAGTTAATAACACAAGAATAAATTATGTTTCCTATACTCACAACTGTAAACCCACTCTTGACCACTCTGTGTAATTGCTGTGTTAGGAAAGCAATCAGCTGGCTGAACAAAGGCAATTCATCAAGCACTCCAAAACTTAGATTTTTATGTCATGTTATTGACAAGTCAGTATATTTACAAATACAACAATAAAAATGTGAATTTCACTTCTCTCTGTCTCTGTCTGTCTCTCTCTTTGCAGTATTCAGGGTATTAGGNTACAAATACAACAATAAAAATGTGAATTTCACTTCTCTCTGTCTCTGTCTCTGTCTCTCTCTTTGCAGTATTCAGGGTATTAGAGTGCGTAATGGCCTAATTGTAGATGTTTAAAAAAATAAAGAAGATAAATATGGCTATTACATTAAATATTCATCTATTTGATTTAGCAAAGATTGTGTTCATGATCAGGAAATATTATTTTAGTGACCGCTGGGTGAAACTCATGTTCAAAGTCAAGAAATTAGGCTAAAACAAAGCTCCATTACTTTTGCAAAGAGAACAAAAGTCCCATAGTTAATCTTTCAGTAATTAATAACTATGATAGCTCTAAACTATGGCTCAAAGAAGCAGTTTTGTGAAAATTAAGTGCTTTGCAAAGCTCCATCAATCTGTGACATATGGAAACCAGAAGCTGTGAGGACAATGGGAAAGGGTTTCCCATAAAAAGCTACAAATCAGAAAATGTTGACTAAACTAAAGGAACTATATGTACGTACTATGGAAAATACTTTTTCTTTCTAACATTATTTTAAAATGTAATAGTCATTATTTTAAGATGATACCTAGATAGTACAAAGGAATGAACTAGATAAGCTTCCTAAAGACTCTGTAATTATGTGTAAATATGGCAAGAGCAGCATGCCTTTGGGCACCTTTGAATTATTTGATAGATTTGCCATATAACACAATATTAAAATAAAAATGAGAAACAACTGTGCTAATAAAATAGTATTGGTTAAATGCTAAGGTTCTAGGTAGACCAGAAGCCTAAAGAATGTATTTTTAGGATGCATAATTATGATGTTAGAAACACAAAGGCATGAGTAATAAATGCACCGAGGCTACAGAAAAATTCTCCCCACCGTGTTGCTATGAATACCTTTCTAATGTCAATACAGGAAATGAAAATAAAATGATCTTTTTGTACCCAATTCAAGGTTTCTCACTGTTAAGAGACAACAGGATTGGAGTACTCTGGAATACCAAGGGCACTTTTAATCTAATAAAAAATTTAATTACTTAGGTCTACCTCATTGAGGTGAAATGGTTTATATAGACTTTCAAACACAGAGATGGCTAAAGTGGACACTAACCCATGTTCTAGATTTCAAGGCAAGAGTGTAAGGCAGCTGGGGCCCCATCAAGTGTTGGAAGAGGCACTGAGGAGCACAGCCTGTTTCTAGGGGACCTTATAAAGGTCTGTGCCTGCCAGGGGTGTGGAGGGTAACCTCTGCGAGCAGAAGAGTACCAGGTCAGGATATTCAAATGCACAGGTAAAAATCACAGTGCTTAGGAGAGACAGAAAAGACAAAAGAGGGTGGTGTGGAGAAGGCAAGGATTCGAGGAGCCTCTGAGTTCAAACGCCTGAAGCACCTCTGGAACTCAGCCCTCCAGAGGCGTGCGCAGACCATTACCTCCTCCCTTGCCAACAACTTTTAAGTCTAACAGCAGGAACATTTCTCAGGCGCAAATTAATTTCTTAAAGGTTAATGGAAAAGTGTTAATTTGGTCGTGTGAAATGTTCCTCATTTATTAGGTACGTTCTGGCAATGGAAGAAGTAGCTTGCACTTTCAGTAACAGCAAAGCTAGAATAAGTGTAATCACCACCGTACCCATCCCTCCTCAAGAATATTAACGGATCATAAAGGCTCATCCTTCACTTCTGCAAAGATCGTATCATAAACATCAACAAAAATGGTGCGTGTGTTTTTGTTTTTGTTGAGCCCCTGTATCAGAGGTTTCCAAACTCGTATGGATGTGGAAAGCTTGTTAAAAGTGCAGATTCCTGGGCTCTATTTCAAAAACCATCAGATTCAGAAGTCCCGGGTAGACCTCGAGAATTTGCTTTTCAGACAAACGCTCCTGGTGAGTGTTGCACAGGTGACCCGGGGGTCACACTTGGAGAAACCCCGCCCCACAGTAAGCTCTTTTCCACTCTGATTCAAGTCAGAGGGAACTGTATTTTTAACGGGCTTCCTCGTGTTAGTTCGGAGAAGCAAGGAGACTGTCACAGAGTCAGCCAGAGACAAACGCTCAAAGCAGGTGGAGAACCCTGGCCTCCGGGCGCAGCCGGCTGGGTCCTGGCGAGGGGCCCTCAGGTCGCCGAGACCCTCCCAGGCTGCGCCACCCCATGCACCACCCAGCCCGGCCGGGCCGCGGGCTCCTCGGGGCCCGGGAAGCCCACGCCAACGCTTCCCGGGCTTTACCTCTTTGGGCGACAGTATGGAGATGTAGTCGTCGTATATCATCCTGGCCTTCTCTTCAATGACCCTCTTGTTCTGCTCCTTCTTGAGGTCCTCGCAGGCCAGCCAGAAGAGCAGGTTCTCCTCGCTGTACTCCGTGCGCAGGAACTCTCGGAACAGGTTTCGGCCCGCCGGGGCCCTCATCATCTTGTCAAAGTTCTGAGACCAGGACAGGACCTCGTCCGCCGTGGGGTTTTGGCTGCAGAGAAAGGAATGGGCCGTCACCCAGGCGCCCTGACCCGCACGGGAGCCCAGGCGGGGCGCAGGGGTGCAGGCGCTGTCCCTTGCTGCCATCTAGTGGTCCTGGCCGCGAGTCCCGCCGATCCGGGGAACAATCGCCCGGACTGGGTCAGTCATTTCTGGGTCTTGCCAAAAACGAGCCTTAGGTTAGGCACAAGCTGCGGGTGAGGGAGCCTGGTGTTCAAATGGCAAGGGGTTATATGCGCTATGCATGTGGTCGTCATAAATTCCTAATGAAGATGGAGATGCGCAAACCTTAATACACTGTTCGAAGGGCAAGCTGAATTTGTTTGCATCTGATGTAGATTTTCATTTTCAAGCCGTAAGCTACAGTTTCTCTTTTCATCTCTGGTAGCTAATTTTTTCATTTATCACCGGATCTAAAATACGGGAAGGCGGGGGTGGGTGGGGAGAGAGTAACCTAAGAACTTATGTGCATTTATGCATAACCCAGGGACACAGGAAACAGTGTGGTGAAGGCCT